TTTATTTTAATTTTAAATCAATAAATAATTATTTTTTATAAATGTATTATGAAATATATTAAATGAGCGTCTTTATTGCTGTTCAAATTAAAATTATTTAAATGAAGGAGAGAGAAAGAAAGGAGAGAGAAAGAAAGCTTAATTATTGTGCCTTAATAATTTCAGAGCTGCTGCCGCCCTGATCTACAAATTATTGTCAATCGTGTTGATGGCAGAATTAATTAGAAACTTAATTCGTTTGCTTGCCTGCTTATATACCTTATCTGCGCTTAGCGTGACACCTGCTCCGGCCATGGCGAAGCTCAAACTTTTATATCTTTTGTCTTCCGATGTTTGTTGGATATCTAAGCTATTCTTGTATGCAGCAATTTTGCCCTCATCATCGGCCAGGTCTAAGTATTTGGCTGAAACCAGTGAAGTAAACATGGTTAATTGGTTAAAAAAAGTTGGCAAATTATAGAAAAGTTTTTGAAGAATAAGTTCACGGATTTTCCTTTGATATATCGGGCATTGTTAATTAATTAGTTTTTAAAAAATATTAATTAAAATATGATGATTTTGTAGATATATATTCTCTAAAACGATGTCTTACAAAACACTACATAAGGATCTTACCAATATAATCAGGTACTACAAGACCATCCGAGAATCTTCCAGTGGGAACCGGGGGGTGAAGTGATTTCCCATATGGTTGGTCTTTAGATGGAAGACAAAGTTCATCATTACCGTAGCCAACATCAAAGAATGAGTCGCCGAAGACGATCAAGAGGGTGGACTTTTTAGAATCCGTGCAGGTTCCTCCGTGAACTGCAGGAATGAAAAGGTTCGCGGTGGCAAACAGAGTTGAGAAAAGGAGAGGAATTGAAAAGCCTAACATTACTCCCATGACTGAGCTCTAATTCAAAGCTTCACTTCACACTAAATTTTGTGGTTTGGACGTACTTCTCCCAACCGCCTTTTATAATGCTCAGTTGCTCACAGATGCCCTTTTATCACCTTTGTTAACATATGTGAACTATTACTTTACTGCTTCAGATAGTAATGCTTAGAAGGCAGTGTGAACGGCGAAGTTGGTGTGTACCTATTTCATTAACAAAACTTAGTATGTCGATGAATACTACAATTTCAACTTTATTAAGTCGAGTTCTTATTTTTTTTTTCAAAAAAAAATATAAATGTAATTATTTGTTTAACTGGTTATACCTATTTATAGCTAATTAGAGTATTTAAAAATGTTAACTTATGCACTAATTTCAATATATGAAATAATGAACATTAATTATTAGTCAAGTTTATCTAACATGG